GTGAGTGTGCCCCCCTAAAAGTGTTGCCCCTGGTGTAAGAGTAACGATGGTCCTTCTGCGCCAAACAGACAGGCACCTTTAAAAACTTAAATTACTCAAAAAAAAATAAAAGAGTGAAAACAGTGAAAAAAAAGAACACTAAAGCAAATACATATGTACATAAATATATAAGCAAATAAGCGCACAAGTGAACAAATAGGAACCTTTTAAAAAATTATATAAAATTTAATTGCACGGGCGCGCCGCGTAAACAAAATTTACACAAAACAAAATTTCGGGCGCGAAAACAAAAAAAAAATAATAATCTTCAATAATAAAAATAGAGGACAACCAACAGCCAAGCAGCAATATTAAGCGAGGACGCAAAGACAACGAGGGAGGAGGATATTAGTCCAAGCGCAGGCCCACCAAAGAACAATACAGTTCACCAGCAAGAGCAGCCCATAATACCCCAAAGCCCTTAATATATCAAAGTGAGTTGTATCGTTCCACTTATTTTTAACTAACCTAAAAATCTGGTGAAAAAGCGAACTGGGGTTAAATTAACTCGAATTTAATTCCCATAACCTCATTTTCAGCTGGCGGTGAAAATTCAAATCACGTTCATATACGTAGATACCCAAATACATATGTACACACATATGATATTGCCCTATAAACATATATATACAGTCCACTTAATAAACTTACACCCCAGCTTAGCTTAACATAAAAGGCGCATAAATAATTATACATATATAAATAAATACTGTATGTAAGTACATACAGAAATCACCCAAAATAAATACAGTTCGCTTTAGAAACTATATATCAATAACAAGAATTCCTCCGCTTATGTGCTTAAATTTCGTGTAATAAAACACAAACAATTATACCGCAAAACATATTCAAGTGGAAACTTGCAAATATTTCCAGCAATACCCCTTCTGTTTGTATAACAAACAGCAAGCAGGATTGCATAAACAAGTAAGCTACAAAGCAAAATAATAACTAATAAGAATTGGCGGCAAAATAACGAATAGCGTATGTGCACATAAGCACAACAATACATACGACATAACATTATTCCCCAATTGCCATTTCTTCACCTAATATAATACAGGCTTAATATTGGTGGTCAATATACATATGTACATACTCCCGTTCTTTGAACCCAAAATAATTTTGAAAACACAAACGGGCATACATCATATACAAAGCAACGAAAACGAAATTATAAATTATCTCTTTCTCCCGTCCTTCGCTAGTAAACATAGTTACACACACACTAACTATTGTTAACCACCCGCGCTTAACCTATGTTAATATATGGTAGCATTGCGTGCAAACATTAATATACTGACATACATACCTACTAACCCAGTAGTGCATATACCTTATACGGCGCACGTAAAGGAAAAATATTAAGAAGCGCGGAAAAATAAAATCCCTCAAGTTAAAGATTTAATTTGCGATAATTTAATGAGCAATTTTTAATTGAAAGAAAAAAAAAATACCAACCCATCGAAATTATTAAAATTTATATTACGAAAAAAAATAGTCATACATACGCACGTAAATAATAAAACTCGAAAGAGAGTATTGCGGATACATTGTGTCACTATAAAGAAAAGTAAGTCAAAATCCGATCGACTATACGGGCACTCACATTATTACATCATTCGTGGGTATTAAGATACATAGAAAAAAAAACAATTTTATAAATTCTCGAGTTCACATTTAAATGCAAACGAACAAGTCTCCCATCAAAGAACCGAAAACACCTCAATTGCTAGATATACCGAAAATGGTTGACGAAGATAAGCATCAAAGCACCCCTGCAGAAGCTACACGCTCAAAACAGGGTGCGAAGCAAAAAAAGACCAAAGATTTTTCGGCCGCAAAATTTATTGCGGAAAGTGACAGTCTAATAAGATACTGCACTAGGTTTTCCGCAGCCCCTATCCAAGACAATTCAGAATCAGTTCTGGAAGTAAAAACCCAAAGTCTTGATAATTTTTGGACACGTCTCCAATCGGCTTACGACGCCATAATTGAAACTGAGGATTCAGATTTACCTGAAAATTTTAAATCCTCGGCTTACGCCAAATATGAAAATTGCTTAGACCAATACGAAGAAACAAAGGCTATGATTTCCGATCAACTAAAATTAATAAAGCCATTAAATGCACCTACTCCACCCCCGAGAGTAGAGCTGCCCCAGATACAAATCCAAGAAGCAAGTTCAGGCATACATCTTAAAGTGCCAGCATGTGATACAGAAGTATTTCATGGAGGTTATGAACAATGGCCGTCCTTCCGGGACATGTTTACAGCCGTATACATAAACCATCCAAAGTTATCTCAAGCGCAAAAACTGTATCACCTCAGATACAAAACAAAAGGTCAAGCAGGCGCTATAGTTAAACAATTCGCACTTAGTGACGATAATTTTAATCTGGCTTGGGAAGCATTAAAATCACGATATGAGAATGAAAGAGTATTGGTCGACAATCAAATAACGATTTTAATGAACTTGCCAAAAATTCAAAAGGAAACAAGCGAAGAATTCATGAAATTACAGTCCACTGTATCAAACTGTTTGTCGGTTCTCGCGACACAGAAAATTCCCACGGATAGTTGGGACCCTATTCTGGTAAACGTATGCGCTGCAACTTTACCAGAAAAATCGTTACTCTTATGGGAGCAATCGCTCTCATCCCGAAAAAAATGCCCAACGTGGCAACAAATGAAAGACTTCCTCACTACCCAATTCGAAATCGCAGAAAGGGTAGATAAAAAAATATCAAAGCCGAAAAATACACAGCTCGACCTCAATAGAAGCTACAATAGACCCCAAGCCAGTAACAATAATTTACATAATCGAAGCTTCAACAGAACTCAATCGTTCATCTCAGAACAGAACAAACGTATGTCATGCGAATTTTGTAAAGGAGGTCACTCATTAAGATCTTGCGAGAAGTTTAAAAAACTTACAACAACCGAACGATATAATGTCGTTAGAAATAATAGACTTTGCACAAATTGCTTCTCACATTCTCACATCCAAAAAGACTGTGAAAGTAAATTCAATTGTGTATACTGCCAAAAGAGGCATCACTCGATGCTCCACATTAATAATTTTACCCCCCAAAACAGCTCCAACTCACAAAGAGCCACAGGGCTAGTTGCAACAGCTAGACCCGAACACCCCGAAAATCTCGAAAACGAAACCGAGAAACCATGCTGTTCAAAAACAGCAAATATACAAGCGCTTCATTCCGAAAATGAAAGCAAAATTTTACTGCCAACCGCGATTGTCTCGATTGAACATCGAGGAGAATTATTCAAGCTTAGAGCTCTAATCGATCAAGGCTCACAAAGATCGTTTATCTCATCAAAAGTACAAAACCGGCTAAAACTCCCAACCACAAACTCAAACTTTGAAATTTCGGGAATGGGTGGAAGAGTAATACAAAACTCTAATAAAATATGCTCATTAACCCTGATTTCCCCCAATGCGGATGTAAGAATAGAGGCACACGCCATAGTTCTGCCGCAACTTACAAATATGCTTCCAAGCTATAAAGTAAATGGCAAAGATCGCCAAAAATTTGCCCACCTAAAATTAGCGGATCCCAACTGCCACACCCCCGCGCAAGTTGATATCCTATTAGGCAGCGACCTAATCCCCCAAATAATGCTAGAAGGCATTGAGAAAATTTCAAATACCCTGTTAGCCCAAAATACCATCTTTGGATGGATATTGAGCGGCCAAATAAAAGAAAAAATATCGGTATTCACAACACAAGTTGAAGATATTTCAAACGAACACCTCAATTCTCAATTAAGAAGATTTTGGGAGTTAGAAGAACTCCCCCCCATGCAAGTCATTACCCCAGAAGATAAGTATTGTGAAGACTATTATAAAGCCACAACTACAAGATCAAAAAACGGCCGCTACGTTGTACGGCTACCATTCAAGCCACAATTTCCCGACACACTCGCCTTAGGCCACTCTCGAACCTCAGCACTTCAGCAATTTTTAAGTATGGAAAAAAACCTGCTTAAAAAAGGCGAGCTAAAGACCTCGTATGACAATGTACTCGAGGAATACCTCCAATTAAATCATATGGAAGTAGTCGAGTCATATGAAAAAATTACAAAAGGTAAATATACTTCATTTTACCTCCCACACCATGCAGTAATAAAGCCAGAAAAACTTACAACAAAAGTAAGAGTTGTATTCAATGCCTCGAAATGCACAAGCTCAGGCAATTCATTAAATGACGTATTATATACGGGACCCACACTACAACCTGATTTAATGCTCCTAATACTAAATTGGCGCATGTTTAAATACGTTTTCAATGGGGATGTCGAAAAAATGTACAGACAAATCCTTGTGCATAAAAACGACCAAGATTTTCAGCGCATTATATTTCGCAATTCACCTAGTAGTCCAATACGCGACTACAAATTAAAAACGGTGACATTTGGCGTAAATTGCGCCCCCTTTCTTGCCATTCGAACACTTCACGAATTGGCAAACGATATAAAAGAAAAATTGCCTCTAGCAACCCCGGTGTTAAAAACACAAACTTATGTGGACGATATCCTGTCGGGAAGCCACAGCTTACCCCAAGCATGTGAATCACTATCTCAAGTGATCCAAGCCCTCAACTCCGCAGGGTTCCCCTTAAAAAAGATAACGGCCAACCACCCCGAAATATTAAAAAAATATAAATAAAGATCACATATTAGACACAAACTTCCTCATCTTTGAAAAAGAAAGTACCACCAAAACTCTGGGAATACGATGGAATGCGATATCAGATCAATTCTCATACACTCTTGAGTCAATATCTGCAATATCCGCAAAAACCAAAAGGCAAATCCTGTCGTCTGTGGCAAAACTTTTTGACCCCGCAGGATGGCTTGCACCAATTATGATCCAAGCAAAGATACTCATTCAAGAATTGTGGCTAGACGGAACAGATTGGGACGAACAAGTTAAACCACTACGCTTGATAAAATGGTCCCAATTTGCCAACAATCTGAACACTATTTCGGAAATACAAATCCCTCGATGGGTAAACTACTCTCCCGAACATCAAGTCGAACTTCACGGCTTCTGCGACGCCTCTGAAAAGGCATACTGCGCTACTATATACGTGCGCACACAACAAGATAGCAAAACAACAAGCCACTTGCTAGTCGCAAAAGGCAAAGTGGCTCCGCTAAAGACCGTAAGCCTACCACGACTTGAGCTATGCGGGGCGCTCCTCCTTGCAAAACTAGCCTCCACCGTTCAAACCCACTTAAGCCTGAACAATCGCAAATTACATCTATGGACTGACTCTGGAATAGTTTTAGCTTGGTTAGAAAAACCACCCCATATGTGGAAGACATATGTGTCAAACCGCACAGCCCAAATAATTGACTTAGTTGGGCCAGCAACTTGGCGACATGTAGCCAGTGCTGACAACCCAGCCGATCTTGGCACAAGAGGTTGCAAACCCCTGCATCTCGCCACCACCTCACTCTGGTGGAACGGCCCCAGCTGGCTAACAGAATCACAAGAATTCTGGCCACAATCCCCGATACGCAACATAATACCCCCCGAAAGTCGAAAAAATTGAAAGCTTTCATGCCGTATTGAATGATACTGACATACTGGAGCGATTTTCATCGTTCCCCCGAGCCCTCAGAGTAATAGCTTATATGTTTCAGTTCATAACTCGCCTCAAAAATAAAGTAAAAGGAGCGCCTAACCCCCCGCATCATGCACTAACACACCAAGATCTGCAACGGGCTAAAATGACTCTGATTATGTCTACTCAGACCCGCTATTATGACCGGGAAATAGCACTTTTGATGGTATCAAAGCCAATAGATAAAAAGAGCCCACTCTTAGCTCTTAATCCCTTCCTAGACTCGAAGGGACTGCTACGCGCCAATGGACGTCTGGCAAACTCCAGTTTGAGTTATAACGAGCGGCACCCAATAATAATACCCGAAAAATCCCCATTCGCCACACTGTACATAAATTATTTGCACTTATTGATGCTACATGCCGAACTTCGGCTCATGCAGCAAATGATACGACAAGAGCTTTATATCCCACGACTGAAGCCTCAGATAAAGAAATGTATTTTCCTGTGTAAAGTCTGCACTCTACATAAGCAGAAAATGCGCACGCAGATCATGGCAGCTCTACCACCTGAACGCTGCAATTTCTCTTTGCCCTTTACCATCACGGGTGTTGACTTTGCGGGGCCTTTCCAGATAAAGGCCTCTATGTTAAGGTCTTCCACCTTTACGAAGGGCTATGTGGCCGTTTTTGTATGTTTTTCGACAAAAGCGGTACACCTTGAGTTATGTTCAGATCTGACAACTGTAGCTTTTCTCGCGGCATTTGCCCGCTTTGTCGGAAGGCGTGGATTTCCCTCAAAAATAATGAGCGACAATGGCAAAACATTCGTCGGAGCCCAAAGGGCCACGGAAAGGCAATTTATCCAATTTATTAAGGAAGTCTCGCCTGAAATCATAAAGAAATATGCACCCCAAGGAATTAATTGGCAATTTATTCCCCCTAGCGCTCCACACATGGGGGGACTCTGGGAATCCGCCGTAAAAAGCTTTAAAGCGCATTTCAAGAAGATCGCTGGTAATTACAAATTTACTTATGAAGAGTTCACCACTCTATTAGCTCGAATTGAAGCCGTTCTCAACTCACGGCCTCTCAATACCCTCTCGCAAGATCCCTCCGAGTTCACAGCCCTCACCCCTGGGCATTTTCTCAGAGGAGCTCCACTTCTGGCCATACCCGAGCCAGAAACGCAATCCCTATCACTCACAAATCGATGGGAAAGAATTAAAGTTCTCCATCACGAATTTAGCCGTCGATGGAAGGAGGAATATCTAAAAGACCTCCATAAAAGATACCGATGGAAAAACACTCAAGAAGCGCCAAAGATTGGAGACTGTGTCCTAATTCATGACGAATGTCTTCCCCCTACGGAATGGCGGCTCGGCCGCATAGAGAAAGTATATCATGGCTCCGACGGTCATGTCCGCGTAGCTGATCTCCGTACACAAAGCGGCATACTAACTCGACCGCTCGTCAAGCTATGTTTCCTTCCAACCGCCTCCCCTACCGATGGCGCGAATACCGATAGCTAAAATCGTCAAACCGCAATAAACGCAACGAAGCCGTAACAAAACCCGATAATATAAAAAGTGCCTAAATCCGTACCCTCGAACTCACACCAAGTGGCTTACACCTAGCAATCACGCTCATAACTGATGTATGCTATACTAAAGTCCGTTCTCCCCTAATGTAGGAAAATATGGACGTGGAAATGCTTGAAGCCGCACCAACGCCAACTATCCGTTCGGCAATCACCGTGCCCCGCTCGGCAGCACCGCCAGTAGCAGCTCCTCGCTCTACCGTGCCACGTACCGCAGCAGCTCCGGCCGCAGCGCCTCGAAACCCCACGCAACGACCCGCCGCCGCCCCGATGGCATCACTACGTGCCGAACCTCCACAAAGGAGCCCAGCAGCCGTACATGGCGTACGATGCCCACTGTGTCGTCGCCCACACAAACTCCGCCTATGCTCCATTTTTAGGAGTATGCAGCCGCCGCAGCGCCAGCAAGTCGCGCAAGCTCATGGGTACTGCCTGAACTGCTTGGCGCTGTCGCACGCCACGAGGGAGTGCGACTCCCCCATCATGTGCCAACTGTGCGACAGACCGCACCACACGCTGTTGCATCGCATCCCCGCACGAATCATGCCCGAGACACCAGTTGCCCGCAGCAATGGGCGACGAAGACCGCAGGGCAATATAGCACGATCGCGGCGACCACCAGCACAACAGGGCCACCGCACTTTTAACCACCCCGGGGCTCGCTATCGCGCTCCAGCAGGGACCCGTCGCCGACACCAGCCCACGCAACGCCCCCGTCGGGCAACCGGACTAAGCAACGTCGTGGAGACCCTGCAGCAACTCCAGCAGCTACTAGGCTGAAGACTCGCCTAGGGGGGCCGGGATGGCTAAATGAGTTTAGCTGTTCCCCCCTATTGTCTATGGTGAATGGCTCCGTGGAGCAGCAGCAACCCTGCCTAAGCGCCCACTCACCACGGCCCGTTCCCCCCACGTACACATAATACACCTACACACACACATATACATATGAATTGTACTTACACACACACACACACATGAACTACAAAATAACATAAAACAAAACACAATTTTGCGATTACCGAGCCGACAAGACGTGTTCCCGCTGTACCTCCGCCTTCTCAGCGTTAATAAATTTAAATTGTAAATATTTTAAACAAAAGGAGTTAATTTTTATCGGAAAAGTGGTGAGTGTGCCCCCCTAAAAGTGTTGCCCCTGGTGTAAGAGTAACGA